TTAAGAAAAAAACAATTCCTTAGTCCTGCGGCAGCCGTCGTCGTCGTCATATCAATAGGGAGCTTAATCATGTAGGACGGCAACACGACGACGACGGCAACCAATACAATGAGTCAATGAAAAGAAATAAATAATTAAAGTCCCAGGGGAGTTTCAGACGTGGTCGTCGTTCTGTTTACAACGGCAAATCGCAGATTTTCACGTCTTTTGTACAACGCCTGCATTTCAAGACGTGACAAATGCAACTTAAATTCCGTTCAGTAGAACTCTTCCCAAACATAAAGCCAATGTTTTCAACTTCTTATACTGTATTAAATTCATACGAATTATAATATACGACAAGTTTTCTTTACTATCATTTATTTGAAGGAATTTGTTTTGGCCGTCGTCATCGTGTTGCCGTCCTACATGCTTAAGCTCGCTAATGGCGTCAGCGAGTCAATATGATTCTCGTCGTCATAGTAATATAGCGCAAACGGGTCCAAATATTTTTCATATTGACTCTTCGACGTCATTTTGCTAATATGCAGTGGCGAAGCCAGCGGTCATGCAGGTCATGCAGTGCATGACTAAAAATTTCCCCCAAAATGTTTAAAAATCAGTTCAGTATAATTGTTTACAATAGAATTATACTTTATCTTTGCACTTCTACGCTTAAGTATTTTATTTATTATTTTGTTTACCCGAATCAGTGGTCTTTAGGTCGATATTTTCGCTAAATATTCTCGTATGTTATTGATTTTGGCTTTGTTACCTTGGCAACTGAGCGGTCCTGCATATTTTCACATGCATGACCGGTTGCGTAAGCGCGTGGAAAACAATTGCGTGTGATTGCTGCGTGGTTTGCTCGCTGTGTGTTTTGGTCATGCATTTTCAGAATTTCATGACTAGCTATATTATTTTATATTAGGTTTGTTGGTTTCTGATTGGCTTACGACGTTCGCGCACGCGCAATGCGGCTGTTTTTGACGCCTTGGTCATGCAATTTTCGATTTGCATGACTAAACGGGCAACACAACCTGATCACAGCCTCTTAGCTCGAAGCTTTCAGCCTGAATGAACACGTCTTCAGGTCATTCAAGCATGTCGACTTCTTCTTCACTCGAAGCTAACGATATTGTTTGGGAATTAGTGAAAAAACCATTTTCTGCTCAGCAGAATATTATTGTTTATCAAGCAGAGACCAACGCCAGATCTTTCGACATGCCCGATCGGGAAAGGTTTTCAAATGTCGTGGTATTCAAAGAAAGAATGGTTTAGGCTAAATAAGCTATTAGTATTATTTAGTTATTGTTATTTTGTCTTGAATATTTAAGCTTTCAACCCGAGCATAGGCGTATAAAGCATCGAGGCGCTAGTATAATATGAAATACAATGTCAATGTCGAGGTCAATGTAGTAAACAATGTAGTTCTATAAATAGCGCTGCAAGGCTTATACATTTCAACACGCAACACAAATATTTTAGCGATTGTGATTTTTAATAGCAACATATTTGATATATACTTGTTTGTGAAACAAACAAAGAAATTTCAATATATATTGTTAAATTGTATTTACCATTTGGTACATACTCCCCGTAAACTGACAGTAAAATTTCAAGTTTCAACTCGAACATCTGATAATGCCTAATTCCTTTCCGTATCTGAATATTGTAATAAATTGGGCGATTGATTTTAAATTAAGGAAATTGATCAAGGCTCATGCGTAATGCGTTATATTTTCCAAGTGACCAAGTCTGCATATTATAATATACCTATATTCTAGATTATACTGACTGTATTGGCAGCTATTTGTCATTATGTATCGAAAAGAAATACACAATTGCCGGTATGACTATAATTAGAGCGGAACTGCAGACCACAGATTTCCTATTTTTGTGTTGATCTTCATTATTGTTGTCTGAAATATGCCAAAATATCCACATCTTTTCCTTCATTAGGTCAAGCTATTTTCCGAAATTTGATGCTCAGATTGCTGCAAATAGCGTTTCTGGGAGTCTATATTTCAAAAATTTTCCGGGGGGGCATGCCCCCGGACCCCCCTAGGATGTCTCACGCCTTCGGCGCTCGTTTGCATGACCAGTCACACGACGCTGGCTTCGCCACTGCTAATATGAATGTGGAAAATCCATACTTGGTTAGCCATTAGCCATTGAGTTAATATGAAAATTTCACAGTTGGCTGTTAGCCAATCAGAAACCAGGAATTTTTTAAATAAATAATAATACATTTTGTTTGTGGAAACCGACCGTGTAAACTTATTGCTCCAGAAAATAACATGCTACGTCGAATCGTTGTGTACCTAATTATTATTACTTAACGTGAAAATGAAACATTATATATAATGGTTTTACTAGCCCGCGTGAAGGCCCAGGGAAGAATGGTGGCCTGCAAGCAAGACCCTGTATTTTGTAAAACGCCCCTTTTTATAACACGCCCCATTCGCGCGTCAATTGTCAAAAAAGAACCAATGATAGCAACCCAAATATTCACAAACAAACTCGCATTAAAATGTTGCGGGTTTTTCTCTGCTTATTCAGAATAGAAACAAATGTGTAAATGGCTGCGTTTTAACTCAAAAAAAGCAAGCAACGCAGTCAGTAATTGCCAAATTTGCAACTGCTTATTTTCAACTAAAATCGGAACAGGCAAATTAGGACGAATTTCAACAGAAAACCAGTCTCAAACTTCAAATCGTGAGCGAAGTCGTGCGACCACATTAGCATTAATGTGTGCTTTGCTGTCGCCATTGTTATAAATAAATTGTCTCACTTATCAGATTGTGTGTGCAATTCTTGTTGGCGGCGGAAAATACGAAATTTATTTCAGTTATGTCATTTCACAGGCAGCAGAGGAGTCGAGTTTATCTAGTAAAACAATACAAACGCCGTCTTACCTTGTTAATTGTAATATCTTTCATTGTAGAATCTCCATCTGTGCATTAGAAATGCATATTTTACAATTTATAGTCTATTGAAAGTGTCGTGAAACCATATAAAGTTTATAAACATTGTATTCCTTGTATGATTTTTTATTCGTACTTCATGTAACATGAACACCAAATGAATATACTCCGCTGCTCTAGATTATTGTGGGCTCACATTTCGCTATACTTAGTAAACAATAAGAAACGAAGAAAGGGAGGAAACAGTCATTGGGGTGATATTTTAGGATGGCTATAACTTGCTTAATATTTCATAAAAATACATAATTTTTTGTATGCAAGCTAGAAATTATCTATTCTTACTACGCTAGGAAATAAATTTCAATAAACGGTCGTTTAACCTACATATTTGACGACCGATATTCATCGATTATTTTCGTACGATGTGCACCGCAACACCCTATGACGGAAGTGACGTATTGTTTCGTGTTTATGCATGATTGATTCAAATTTTTCGAATACTAATTACAACTGTCAAATGAAGTTCTGCTTCGTCATTGGTCAATGGCCGGTTTTATTCACTTCCGTTATAGGGTGTTGCGGTGCACATGCGACGAAAGATCTGCAATGTTTCCTCCCTTTCTTCGTTTCTTATTCGTTGATATCTCGGCCAGTGTTCGTTAGCTTTTCGGGAAATACAAGTCTACGGTAATTCAAGGCAGCGGAGTATATTAATTGTTGAAATTCATATTTTGTTTTATATTCGATAACTTTGATGAATAAATATGCATTAATAATGCATACATTGGGATTCTACAATGAAATATACTAGAATTAACAAGGTAAGATGGTGTTTGTCTTGTTTTACTAGATAAACTCGACTCCTCTGCTCCCTGTGGTCATTTGTAAAGAACTTGACAAAAGAAGAGAGCGTTCAGAGGCCAGATCGTTTCGTTCCAAACGGCAATTACCGTCTTCTGTTTCGCTCTCTCAGCAAAGCCCTGGAAATCGCGAAGTGTTTCGAATAAGCTTACATGCAACTGCTTCTAAATCATCACCGCCAAAACCGCTGGGGTTTTTTCAGTGCAAGAACAGAGTCAACATCAACCAAAAGATAATTTTCTTGAGGGATATACAACGTATCAAGTCTTTTTGAAATTAATAACTCAAGTAAAGATTACTATAGTTTACCGCAGTGGTAATGTTGCTATTCCAACACTTCACGGCAAGCAATCTCCGTTGGCATAACGACAAAAACATCTCTTCCTTCAAGTAAACGATAAACAGTCTGTTCTTGTTCCATTTTTAATCGAAAAAGTGATCAGATCCAATTTTTATAAGCTTATCGAGAGCCTTTATGATGAATCACTGATCTATAAAATCCAACAGCAAACAGCCAATCAGAATGCTGCGTTCGTGGGCGAACGCGGAAATTACAAACTACCGGGTCTTGCTTGCAGGCCCACTATTCTTCCCTGAGCCTGCACGCGGGCTATGGTTTTACAATATTTTCAACCACTCTCACTAACTAAATTTATAAAAATTGAATGAATTTAAATTGTTCATTTGAAAGAAGTCCCTCCCCCAATATATACACACACCATGACCAAAGCATACTTAGATCAAAGAAACTTCGAAAATGTAAACCTTTTTTGAAGAATATATAGAATATTTTATAAAAAAATTAATAGCACGTCCTTGTGGTAAATATGCGGTGCATTAATTCTGGCTCAATGGCAAAAGTCTACATTATTACATAAAGTTTTCATTGTCACGTTTCAAATTGCCATATACATGTAAATTATTTACAATCACGGGTAACTGATACCAGTCAAGAAATCTTCAATCCAGGATGGTGGTGGTGGTGGTGGTGGTGGTGGTGGTGGTGG